CCCTTTGGGTCTTGGGGCTTACCTGGGCCCCGCTTCGCCAAGGGGACCGTCGTCAAATCGGCCCCTGATGACCAAGGGGACCGTCGTCAAGTCTGTAACTGTTTGGGTTCCTCGAACGGAGCGATTACGAGGGAGGGCATTTGCTCAACGTGTGCGTATCCTTTGGGTAGTGGGGCTTACCTGGCAGATTTCACGTAATTCATCTCAGTTCGTCAAAATAATGTTTTAATAATCCAGAAATCGTTTTTGAGCAATTTTTTAAACATCGGCCCCTGATGACCAAACATGCCCTGGCGGAGGTGGCCGAGAGGTCCGGGGGCCACGTCGCGAGCACACAAAAAACGTGGCGTCGGAAGTCGAGGACGATGGGGGGGACGGGCGTTTTGGAGCTCTGGCCGTGGTCACAGCAAGCGCAGAGTATAGCTATTGTTTCTTTATTTCGCCGCCCCCAGAGGACTGCACGGAGTCGCAGTGCTGCACAGAGGTTGGCGCGCAGTGCTTCGCCAAGGACAAGACCTATGCCAAGTGCATGCTGTCTTGCAACTCCTCCGCGCCCGACACCGATGGCTGGTCGTGTGAGGCTCAGGGGACACGTGGTGTCCACTACATAAGACCTCGGTCTAGAGGGATTCAGGGGTTGCTGTCTCCTCCTCGGCGGAAGGCAGCATATGGTCAGTGCAGGGTGGCGGTAGTCAAACGTATGCTGATGAGTCCGCCGGCAGAAGGCTGGCGGAAGCCGGCGGCAGCAAGAGTGCCCCCCTCAAAGGGACGTTCTCGTCATGTTAGATTCAGATTCGCAGTTTGCAGTATATTTGCGCCACATTGTTTTAACTGCATTGTTTCCACCACGTAGCTCGCACCACGTAGGCTGCGCCGTATGGCTTCCACCACATGGTTTCCACCACAGAGCTCGCATCACGCTTATTCAGTCGTAATAAACCGAATTAGGAAATACTCCCTCCGCCGAGCCCACGGATACCGGTCTTCCCCTGGTTATTGTTTCCACATTTGTTTGGCACGGTCGGATGTCCGAAATATCGGAAAGAGCGTGTTCTACCGCTGCTGGCGGAAAACCGGGGGGGGTCACTACCGGTTCGAACCCCTCCCCCCCCCCCCCCCCCCTCCGGAAAAACTGGGGGGGTCACTGGGGGGGGTTCGAACCCCCCCCCCCCCCCTCCCCATCATGAAAAGGGGGGGGGTCACTACCGGTTCGAAACCCCCCCCCCCCCCTCGAAAACCGAGTGCCCAGATCATTGATTCCTGGAATTTTCCAGGTGCGACCGGTCGCGACGGTAGCGTTCAGGGTGGGTCGGTAATATCGGTAGCGGTCGCGGCAATATCGGTCGCGGTCGCCTTCGGTAACATGTCGGTCGCGGTCGGTAGCATGTCGGTCGCGGAGTCGGTCGCGGTCGGTAACAAGTCAGTCGCGGATCGGTCTGGGTTCGTCGACAGCAGGGGGGGGCGATCTGACAATGAAAGAAGAGTTTCGTCTGACCGTACCAGTTTCGGTCTGACAATAATCTGACGTCAGGTCATTGTCAGATCAATGTTCTGACAATGATCTGACGCCATACGATTGTCACATCGGTGTGGGCAGACGACTTGCTTGAGCTTCCTCTCCTTCTTGTCCCTTTCACGTCCTTCCTCTCCGTGCTTCCTCCTCGTCCTCCTCCGTATCTCTGTCGCATCCTGCCCCCCCCCCGCCTCTGCGTGCCGACTGTCGTTATCTTCCAAATCCTCCCCCACCGCCCCTTCTCTTCCCCTGCTACCCGACCGCCCTTTCTCAGCTGCTCCAGCTCCTCCCTCCTCTCCTTATTTCTTCGTTGGGCTCAAGCGCCATGGAGGTGGACGCCACGTGCCTGTGGATTGAGCACGATGGGGGGCCCGCCCCCCCAGGGCTCGGGATCCCATGGCGCGTCGCGGAGATTGGGGAGGTCCCGCCAGGCCTCCCCATGACCAGCGGGCGCAACCGCAAGCCGAGCAGGAGCTGGATCGCCCCTGCTCTGCTGCAGATGACACCCCGCCCGTGGGCGGGGTGTCCAAATTTTATCGCGGTCACTGGCTATGGAGGCCAGTGGCCCCGAGAGGGCTGGAAGGTGGACGAGGGGTGGGCGCCAGGTCAGCCTGGGGCGCTCACCTTGATGCCCGTGCGGTGCTCCGAAATCCTGATGTCGTGGAGCGAAGACGGCCGCGTGCGGGTGCAGTGGTACGTGCGGGTGCCGTGCCTGCCCTACCGCTTGTACTTCATGCGGCGCTGAGGGTTGTGCGGGATAAAAAAAAACTCCCCTCTTCCTCCATTCTTGTCATCCCTCCTCTTCTTCCATTTCCCCTTCATATTCCTTTTCCCCGCTTGGAAACGGGGGAGCGATGAGGAGGCGGGGATCTCGGGACTGAGCGGGACAGGGAGACAACTGGAGATCTCGGCACTGATAGATATACATATATATATATATATATGTAGGATGTAGGGGGAGAGAGAGAGAGAGAGAGAGAGTTGAGAAGTGAGAGCTGAGAGCTGAGAGAGAGAGGGAGAGAGAGAGAGAGAGAGCTTTGCCATGGGGCCGAAGGCTTCTGCGAAGCCCCGCAGGTCGACTGCCGACCTTTAAAATGACAGGGGGGAGGGGGGAAGATGGACAGGGGAAGGAGAAGGAGGAAGAGGGCTTCCAAGGGGGAGGAGGGGGGGAGAGGGGAAGAAAGGACAAGGAGGAGGGGGGAAAGAGAAGGGCGAATACGAGGAGGAGAAGGAGCGCCGCTAAGCCATTTTGGCCAAGGGCACTCTCGCCCCGCCCCTGCGCGGGCTCTTTACCCCCTCCAGCGGGCGGATGTCCGCGGGCGCCGAGTTTGATGGCGTTTCCCCATTGGGCCGTTCCTTGTTAGAGTATATCGCGCAGGAGGGGGTAAAGAGCTCATTCAATCTGGGGCACTACTACTTTCTGCACAAGGACCACGCGGTCCACGGCCCGAGCATCGCGGCCATGGACGGCCTGGTGGTTGGCAGTTTGAACCACGCCCGTTTTTTTTTCCCCTCTGCCAACCCTCCTGATGGCGGGGGGGAGGGGGGGGGGGCTTCAAGAATCAGAGGAGGCTTTCCCAACCCCCTCCACGATCCAGAGGAGAGGGGGGTCGGGGCGCCTCCTCTGAATCTCATTGATCATTAGTTGTATTTATCCTTCACCCTCCCTGCCCCCTCCTGCCCCAGGTGGCAGTGCTGCTGGCGGCCAGCCCAGACGCAGAGATCCCCTTCGTCCCCCTGCGCACGGCGTGCGCAGCCGTGCTGGACAGGCTGCCCGACGACGACGATGTCGAGGGCGATAGTTTTGAGACGTTCGTTTTTATGTTGGTACCCCGTGCGCGTTCAGATATTATTACTTGTTATGTTCCCTCTTCGTTTCTCGAACTTCTTCAAATATTCAGTCCGTTGCCCATCTGGAGCGGAGGTTTAGGGCGAAGGGGGATGATGGGGGGAGGCGGGAGAAGAAAGAGAAGGATGGACGACGATGGGGGCGGGGGGGAGGGGGGAGAAGGCGGAAGAGCATAAGGGATGATGAGGGAGAGAGGTCTGGTGAATAAGGAGGGGGGGCAAGTTGGAAGCGATCGGAACGTGGGGGGGAATTCAAATCTGACGACCGTCTGATGTCAGACGATTGTCAGGTTGGCAATTTTCAATCTGACGGTCATCTGACGTCAGACGTTCGTCAGGTTTGAGGTTCATTTCTGACGACCATCTGACGTCATGCGATTGTCAGGCTGGCAGGTTCCAATCAGACGGTCTGGTTGGAACAACCCAACCTGACAATCGCATGACGTCAGATGGTTGTCAGATTTGAACCGCAAACCTGACAAACGTCTGACGTCAGATGACCGTCAAATTGAAAGTTGCCAACCTGACAATCGTCTGACATCAGACGGTCGTCAGATTTGAACCGCAAGCCTGGCAAACGTCTGACGTCAGATGACCGTAAGATTGAAAATTGCTAACCTGACAATCGTCTGACATCAGACGGTCGTCAGATTTGAATTCCCCCCCCGTTCCGATCGCTTCCAACTTGCTCCTCACTCCTCGCCCCCCCCCCGCCCCCAGAGGCATCCAACGGTGGCGAGGGAGGCGCCGGGCCCGCTCGAGAAGAGAGCGGGCTCGCTCGCGGACAAGCTGAGCTGCGTCCTCAAGCACTGCAGAAGATTGCGAGACAATGCAGTTCGCCGCCGCCAGGCGCGCGGGGGGCCGAGGGCAACGTCGACGACGGAGACCTTCACGACGACGATGTCGCCGACGACGGGGATTGCAACGATGAGGTGCACGGCTAAAGACGTCGACGACGAACCCGATGACGACGAACGTCGTGGACGACGGTGGTGGCGGCGATATGGTTGCGGCGTCGTCGTCAACGCCAAAAATCATGGTGGTGATCGCGATGGCAGTGGAGACAGTTTTTGCGACGGCGTTGACGACGATTATCGCAAGGCCCAGGCTATGATAGGGAGTGGCACGGGAGGTGGGTAGCGGTAGAAGGAGGCGCAGGAGCGGGGGAGCGGTAGGAAGGGGTAGGATGGGGTATGAAGGGAGGAGTGGTCGGAGGTGTGGAAGGGTGCGCAGAGTAGGGATTGGTAGGAGGGATTGGCAGTGGATACAAAGGGAATGGTAGGAGGGGGGGCGCTGCTAGGCGTTGACGGGCTGCCTCGCCGCCGAGCGCGAGAAGTTGGTGCGCCTGTGCAACCAGATGGGCGTTGACACATCCGAGTGCGTGGCCAGGACGTGCACTCCGAATTTTTCTTTCATCAGGAGGCACCCTGGATGAGCAGACGGTTCAGAATGGGGAGGGGGGCAGGGATAATGGAGGAGGGGGGTGAGGGCGATGCTGATAAGGAGGCCGATGAGTAGGAAGGCAGGGGGGACGAGGAGGTCGAGGAGAAGAGGGAGGAGGAGAGATATTCAAGACAAACCGTCCACGCGCATACATCAATGCGCATAGGCATGTCATACATCCACGTGCATAGGTATGCGCGCGTTGAACGACACACATCAGCGATTAGGAAATGGAAAACGGAGGAGGAATGGGTGGACAAGAGGAGGAGGAGTTAGATGCCCTTTAAAATGACAAGGACAAGGACATGGATACGGAGGAGGAGGGCGCGGGGGCAGGGGCAGAACTCATCTTATTAAGATCAATTTTCTCTTGAGCCTGCCGCCACCTCCGCGTGCGCGGAGACTGCCTTCGACGTCGCCCCCGTCCACGCCGCGCGCGCCGCTGACGCCTACGCCCGCGACTCCACCGCCGCGCCCCTCAGCGACCAGATCATTTCTCCAGGACCTACTCTTGATTTCTCACGCTTTGCGGTGTAACGCAGCAGATAGGAGAAACTATGAGAGAGGAGAAAGGGGCGGGCGGAGGAGGATAATGATGGAGAAGGACGATGGAAGGGGGCGGGGGGAGGAGGAGAAGCATGGATGACGAGGAGGGCGGGGGGGGGGGAAGGATGAAGAGCAGAAGGGACGAGCAGGGAGAGAGGTCTTGGGGAGAAGGAGGGATAGCAGGGGGAGGGCGATCGGGACAGTGGGAGGATCTGAAACCCAAGCAAATC